TGGGGGACTCCTATCCAAGCCATGGCCGGAAGCCGGCGCTGTGCTCTCCCTGTATCCGCTGCCATAGCCTTCTTGCTCCGGGTGCCCTCGAAGCCGGGGACCCTGGATTCTGCTCGCCAAGCTTCTGCTCGGCCTTGCCTCCAGGCAGGTGTGTCAGGTGTGCCAGAGGCTGCCCAAAGGTTAGGCAACTGCCGCTGAGTCAGCCGACCGGGTGGCACCGGACACAGACAGTCCACAGCTCTGCCTGCCTGGGGCCTGCACCCTAGATCCAGGGACAGTGGGTGCAGCTTGACCTTGTCACCTCCTGGACACCCCTCAGAAGTACCCATGGAAATCTCCATTTCACAGAGAATGCAGCCAAGTCCAAGAGGTCACACAGTAGGTAAGTGGCGGATCTCCGCTCTCGCCCACTTCTCTCAGAGTGGATTCTGAGCAGAATCCAGCAGCTCAGTTAGAGGGTGGTATGAGAAGGGGTGGCGGGACTGGGCCTGTACCAGCTGGCACAGAGGGGCCAGCTGTGCCCAGCACTCTGCAAGGGTCAGGGTGGGGATGGCCTCAGCTGGATGTACAAGGAGGGGCACACTTCTTGCTCATGCACAGCAGGACCTGGCCAGGGAGGGGTGAGGCATGTGCTCCCCACAGGCAAAATTTAGGAGGCGCCCCAAACCCCAGGAACCAAGATGGATATGTTTTTAAGAATAAAAATGAAGGCAAAAAACTCAAGGTGAACAAAATACCAAAATGTTAGATGAAGTCACCATCAACTCACTTAGGCATCCAGTCCTCATTGCAGACCCAGGTGCTCTGGGCATCATGATGTGAACAGTAGGCCAGATGCCCACATCCTAAGCCTGACACAGTAAGAGTAGCTTGGAGCCTGGCTAGGCTCCAGATGGACAACTGGTCCTGGACCACTGGATGGCCAGGGTGCTCAAGGGCCCTGAGAAGGAGCGAGGCAAGGACAGCACAGCAGAGAGGGAAGGAGCACAGCCCTGCAGAAGGCAGAGCAGGCCAGGCAGGCCCTCTGGGGACCTCAGAAGAGCCCAGGCTGGTTGCCCTGGGATCTGAGTGCAAAGGACACTGGCCCAACCTCTGACCATATCTGAAAGGGTAACTGTGCTGCTTCAAACTGATCAGTAGTTAGAGCAGTGATAGAACCCAATCCCATGGATACTTTTACATTAGTT